GATCCTTACCAATCAGTGCTATATACCTCATCACAGACTTTGGATTAATGATTGTGTAGACTGCCAATCCTTGCAGTACTGTAAATGCAAAGCTTTCCCTGCAATAGTGTAAAAAAAGTCTGTCTTCTTACATGTTAGCTCTCTATTTGGCTCAGTATACCAGAACTATGCATACACCATAAAGCATTAGATCCCTGATGAAGCCAAGACTCAGCATAAACCACAGCATGTTGAATAGCACAGTGGCTAAATGGTTAGCACTTCTGCCTGGCAGTACTAGGGTAGTTGGTTTGAATCCCAACCATGGCACCACCTGCTTGGAGTTTGCATGTTCTCCCTGTGCCTGTGTGGTTTTCCCTCTGGGTACTCTGGTTTCCTCCCACACTCCAAAGACATGCTGGTAGGTTATTTGGATCCTGCCTAAATTGGCCCTAGTATGTATGAATGTAACTTAGGGATATTAGATTGTACACCCCTTGAGGGTTAGGGACCAGGGGCGGACTGACCATTTGGAAACTGGGGCACTGCCCGAGGGCCTGGGGTCAGTAGGGGGCCCCATGACATGCCCCTGGTACCTTTTTCATAGGCTTTTTTGAGTTTGGACAAGGACACAGGGGCTCCATGATCCCCTATTGCCCGGGGGCCCCATGAGTTGTTAGTCCGCCCCTGTTAGGGACTGATGTGAATATACACTATATATGTAAAAGCACTGCATAAATTGATGGTGCTATATACAGTAAGTACCTAAACAACATGATCAATGGCCTGTCATAGAGTTGGGTATAACTATCACAGAAGTATCATTAACCTTTAAACATTTTTCATTCATTTTATGGGCAGCCTAAATTAGTCATATATAGAGCGTCTGACTTTATGCACATTCTGTGCAGTTAATAGACAAAAGTGTCAGATGTGTAAATATAAAAAGCACTTTCCCCTACTTATTAACACGCATTCACAGTATATCTTTAAAACATGATCTTAATTTCATCATTGTTCATTTCTAATTTATAAGACTGCAAATTTCCCTTACATATGATTGATATGTTTTATTAGGATTTCTGTCCTTGGACTTTGCATCCTGTCCGTTCAGTTTGCATTGCCTACTGTCATATATGAACAGTACATATTACAAAGCAAACTGATAATCATTATCTGTATGTAAAGGAATCACTTCAACTTTTTTTATCTAAGATTTTGTGATTTGAAAACCTTACTTACATTAACCATACTTATTTGCTAAATAAAGACGGTTTACTTTGCAAAGTGTTCATTGAGCCAAGTCACACAAAGCTGTGTTCACTACAATCAGCCAGTAAATGCTGGTAGAAATTCAGTTCTTTTAATTTTCATTGCACATAATTGGGGATTTAGAGTGCATACAGGTTCATTTTATTTATTATAATTTATGTCTCTTGCACATAGGCATGTGAGCCCATGCAACTAAATTCTGGCATATTTCCCGATAGCCCAGGTGCTGCGTACAGATGCCTATATCAGTGCTTCTCAACCTTTTTTCAGTCAAGGCACCCTTTAAAATTCTGCACAATCTCGAGGCACCCATTACAAAATGTAAAATAACTAAACTAGTAGTTTTACAGAATGCAGCAAGATCTGCGCATTTAGGACACTCAAGGTCAGAGGTGATTTATTCTTCCAAAGCAAATAAACTTCTGCACACTGGCACTGACTAGTATTCCATTGTTTCTCTTCTCCCTCAGCAAATGTGACCTCAGTGCTGATGGAGAGGGGCAGGGGAGGGGCAAGCAAGGATGCTGTGCAGGACCCGATGTCCTTCTTATCAACTGATGACATCATTGGTTGTTATGTAGCCAGCAGCTAGAAAGTTGTAATGGTGCACAATGAAAATCTGTGGCTTTGTGTAACTAAAAGGAAAGCTCGATTCACCTGCTGGCTTGTATACAATTTCTTAGGCAATTTTAAGGCATTTTGAAATGGCACCCCTGAAGTAACCTGAAGGCACCCAAGGGTTCCTGGGCACCCTGGTTCAAAAAGGCTGATCTCTATAGACATAAATGGCTATGGGTGGCTGAACTTGGGTACACATCACTGTTAGCATAAACACTAGTATAGCATAGAAAATGTTCTATTTTTTGCATATGCCTGTATACTATATTCAGGTTCACACGAGTACAGGAATACACCCAAGTATAACCGATAACAGCTATTCATGTCTGTGAGTGGCTGTACCCAGCACCTGGGCTTTCTGGGTAGGCGAAATAAGCCAGAATTTAGGTTGCATAGGCCGAAATTAAATTTTGATCTGTGTAGCTCTGTTCAACAGAAGCCATTCATTAGACAGGCATCTATCAAATGGTCCTGCTGAAAAACCAATGGATGTAGCACTCATCAGTATATTCTAATAGGAGGGGAGTCCCTCTGCCAGCATACAATAGTGCAACGGGGGAGATTCCTGCATCCACATTGCTTGAGTGGATGTGGGAATCTGTGAGGTTTTGTTTTTATTCAACCTGCTGATTGAATAAAAAACACTCAATGTATATACCCAGTTTAAGAGGCTTATACAAAGCGAAATTTAAGTAAATTTTCATTTTGTAAAAATTAACAGCCTCTAGTCCTTTAATAAATTCCTATAATTGGAATTTTTAAGGATTACACATTTGACTTTATTTTCACTAGCTATTTATATATTTTTAGTGTATGTAACCCGTGACAGTGAACTTACCTTATTCCCTACCCTTTGGTCTGTTAAATATAACACTGAGAGCATGCAATGGCAGGCCATAGACGGGAAGTTTATCGGCCGAATTTTCAGCCGATAAACAAAAAAACGGTTGTCCCCGTTGCCGATGCTGTCACCCATGTCCATGAAAAATGGTCGTTTGTTGCGGATTTTCCAGCATGACCGATAAAAATAAATGAGGAGATCCGCGAAAAATAGCCGACGGGTTGGCCCCACTAACGGCGTGATTATCGGCTCATTTTTCGTGTGGACGAAAATTCAGCCGATAAACGACCCGTCTGCATAAAAGTGCAAAAAAATACCTGTTGATCGTGTCAGAAATTCAGAGATAAGAGAGTAGGAGTGGGAAAGTTTGTGTAGCTTAGCAAAACAAAACTGGGCAGGGCTGACACTTCTCAGTCTACAAAACTGTTTGTTGTCATTCTTCGACAGGACATAGGAGCTGAGTGCATTTCTGGCAGATATTTTCCCATGCCTGCAGGATTTGAAAGGGCTAAAACATGGGGAAATGTGCATACATTGCAGAGAAGTACTGCATATGTTTTTTGACATAATTATTGTACCAAAAGTCGTACAAGAATATATATAAGGTGCAGTGCATAAAGCATTTAAAGTGAAATTATATCAAAAAGGTATAAATATACATATATATCGGTGCAATCAATATGGTAATAAACAAAAAGTCCTTCCAGTATAAATCCATATACAGATTTATACTGGAAGGACTTTGTTTAATACTATATTGATTGCATTGATATACAGTATATGTATAATTATACCTTGACACAATTTCACTTACATGCTTTATGCACTGCACCTTAAATATATTTGTTGGTTTATTAAGATTTCTTGTCACTACCTCTACCGGTGCTAGCTGCTCTTACTTGTACAGCGCTCGCCATTTGCATTTTTGAGATTATCAAACAAGAATATGTTACTGAAGGTAGCACAGTGACATTAGATTTTACAATTTACCACTAGCCAAGAGCAGGCATGGTAAAGAGGAGACAGTTACATATAATTAGAGCTACATGGAGGCCTGTGACTCTTTTAGTAGCATCTACACCCTAACTTTTAATTCAGTTTTGTATCCTGGACCATGAGAAATACAAGCGATGCCATTGCTGTCACATTGCTTGGATATCTCTCACTTCAATACTTTCTGTGCCACTGACCTGGAATAAGCATACAGATTAGAAAGTAAAAGTGAAGTCAGGACTTGTAATTGCTCTGTTTCTCTGCCTCAGAAACTTTTGAACCCACTAGATCAGCATGAGAGCCAGGCAGCTGTCATTTTAAAAAAGGAAAGGTGAGCAATGAAAGCCATTTTATCTCAGTTTTATCATCTCAAGGTGACCTGCTAAAGGAAAATGTAATAAAATATAAACTTATATTGTAAATATTATCATTTGATCCTCATGGCACCCCATAGCCCCAGACACAGCTCCAGATAGTTCCATGGGTGTTATAGGGTTAGTATAGCCCTGGCTCATATATATATTACACTTGGTGGCCTTCAGTTTTGTAAGAGATGAAACTGCCATATTTTTTAGAGGATAAAGCTGTGAATCATCAAGGACCATGTTTGTTTCTATCGTTCTTTTAATGTAACATGTAGCTGATAATGTGATACATTAGACTGGCCATTAAAATCTGGGAGCTGCACCCCCAACTAAAGCTTCTTTTTACATAAGACTTTACATGCTTATGATTATTATCTATTTTTTTTTTTTGTCTTTTATAGATTTGATAATTGCATAACAACCTGGTGAGCCATGTCCGCACAAGGTAATATGTCAACTAAATCAAATACACTCACATGACCCCCAAGCTTTTGGCACTGCAGTGAAGACCCAAAATGCCACAGAAGTGACAGAATTTGTTTTTGTTATGTTTAATTTCTCTTCGTATGTTCAATACTTTGTATTCTCAATATTCCTTTTATTATACACCCTTCTTCTGAGTGGGAACATATTGATCATGCTGACCATCAAGAAAGACTATCGCCTTCATAACCCAATGTACTTCTTCCTAGGTAAACTCTCTTTCATTGACCTCTGCTACTCGACTGTAACTGTACCCAAGATGTTGGTGGATTTCCTATCTGCCAGGAAAACCATTTCATTTAGTGGCTGTATCACACAGCTCTACTTCTTTCACTTCTTTGCCTGTGCAGAATGTTTTATTTTTACAGCTATGGCATATGATCGCTATGTAGCAATTTGCAAGCCTTTACAGTACTCCGTCATTATGAACAAACAGCTTTTGTCTGTGGATGGTTGCAGCAACCTGGGCTATTAGCTTTGTTCATTCCAACATTCAGACAACACTAACTATGGGACTGCCATTTTGTGGTCCTAATACAATCAAAAGCTTTTTTTGTGACATCCCTCCTTTAATCAGGCTGGCATGTACTGACACCACCATGATTGATGCCATGATAGTTGCCAACAGTGGCATTGTTTCATTGGGCTGCTTTTTATCTGTTTTAATATCCTATATCGGAATTGGCAAAGCTATCTTCAAAATAAAAACAGTTGAAGGGAGAAGAAAAGCTTTTTCAACCTGTATCTCACATCTTACAGTGGTGACCTTTTTCTTTGGGCCTTGTGTTTTCATTTACATGAGACCATCAAAAAGTTTTGAAGCTGATGAAGTTGTGATGGTGTTCTATACTATCATAGCACCCATGCTGAATCCTGTTATCTACACCTTGAGGAATGAAGAAATGAAAAACGCAATGAAAAAACTTTGGGGGAGACGAATATAATGAATAAATAATATGATCACTGACACTCGTGCAATGCTATACAATAACAAGCATTAGTAGTGCTAAATGTGTAGGGAGATTGCTGCAACCACTCACCAAGTGTACTCTCACTTAAATAGATATATAATAAATTCAATGAAGAACCAGAAAATGTAAAATAATAAAGCTCAAATAATAAACATCAGTCCACAAGATATAAACTGAAAAGTAGTGAAAAAAAGTCCTAATAAAAGTGCTGACATCAGCTTTCAACAAAATGCTTTTCCTTGTGAACACACTCCCTGCTCACCTTCTAGTTCTACCTACATAATATCATAGGTCAAATGTGTTTAATTAAATATGGTCCTTCAGGTTGTGATTAATCCGTGTCCTCCCAATGCATCTTCACTCAAGCGTGACTCCAAACGTGCATTAAAAAAAGATAAAAATATTTCATAGTGCAACGCTGTAAAGGAAATTAAACAATAAATAACAGCAAGCGTGTGCACTCACAATGAAATAGATCACAACATGCTCCACAGCAAATATTTCAGTGTTCATCCAGTAATCCTTCATATAACCACATTGTTCATAGTGTATGGTTATCAAACGTGCTTCCTATCAGCAATGTCAAAAAACTTTTTTTAAGTTTATCAATCTCTGCTCATCCACTGCAATCCGTTAGTGACTATTTCCTTTGTAATCTCCCTTTAAGAGACCAGACTCCAGATTTCTCACCGGGATGATATATGCACATTATAGAGGTGCACATAGGGCCGTGTGTAGTACAAGACAGCTGTGTGATTGAATCTCTTGCCTCTCCTGTACCCAACTGTACAGAGATGACAACAGGTAGCGATGTTCATTGCATCCCTGTGATGTAAATATATCAATATGTCAATAAAATGATTAGGCAGTAGTGATGGCCGCATACCAGTGATGTATATATATCAATATAATGATTAGGCAGTAGTGATGGGCTGCATCCCAGTGATGTATATATATCAATATGTCAATATAATGATGAGGCAGTAGTGATGGCCGCATACCAGTGATGTATATATAGCAATATGTCAATATAATGATTAGGCAGTAGTGATGGGCTGCATCCCAGTGATGTATATATATATATATGTCAATATAATGATGAGGCAGTAGTGATGGGCCGCATACCAGTGATGTATATATATATATATATAATATATGTCAATATAATGATTAGGCAGTAGTGTCGGCTGCATCCCAGTGATGTATATATATATATGTCAATATAATGATTAGGCAGTAGTGATGGGCCGCATCCAAGTGATGTATATATATATATATATATATATATATCAATATGTCAATATAATGATGAGGCAGTAGTGATGGCCGCATACCAGTGATGTATATATAGCAATATGTCAATATAATGATTAGGCAGTAGTGTCGGGCTGCATCCCAGTGATGTATATAGATATATATCAATATAATGATTAGGCAGTAGTGATGGGCCGCATCCCATTGACATATTGATATATATATATCAATATGTCAATATAATGATTAGGCAGTAGTGATGGGCCGCATCCCAGTGATGTATATATATATATATATATCAATATGTCAATATAATGATGAGGCAGTAGTGATGGCCGCATCCCAGTGATGTATATATATCAATATGTCAATATAATGATTAGGCAGTAGTGATGGGCCGCATCCCAGCGATGTATATATATCAATATGTTAATATAATGATTAGCCAGTAGTGATGGGCTGCATCCCAGTGATTTATATATATATCAATATAATGATGAGGCAGTAGTGATGGGCTGCATCCCAGTGATGTATATATATATATATATATATATATATATATATATATAATATATCAATATGTCAATATAATGATTAGGCAGTAGTGTCGGGCTGCATCCCAGTGATGTATATAGATATATATCAATATGTCAATATAATGATTAGGCAGTAGTGATGGGCCGCATCCCAGTGATGTATATATATATATATATATCAATATGTCAATATAATGATGAGGCAGTAGTGATGGCCGCATACCAGTGATGTATATATATCAATATGTTAATATAATGATTAGGCAGTAGTGATGGGCCGCATCCCAGTGATATATATATATATATATATATATATAATAATATGCCAATATAATGATTAGGCAGTAGTGATGGGCCCGAACACCCCCTGTTCAGTTTGCGGTTGAACATTCGAACCTAACGTAAGTTCGACCATGAACTTTGAACAGGGACAATCCACTAAGTGGTATCTTACCGCATCTCGGTATGGGGTAAGATACCTCACAGTATTTAAAAAAAAAAACCTACTAAAATACCACATGAGTTATTTTATTAAGTCATGTAGTACTTTAGTAGTGAAAACATGCTTTTTTGTTGCAAAAAAAAAAAAAAACTGGCCAAAATTTTTTTTTTAAATGGCTTTATGTTGATGGGAACAAGGGCCTCTTCTTCCCCTCAACCGTGACTGGTGGTTGTGGGGTCTGCAGGCGGGGGGGCTTATCAGAATCTGGAATAAGGTGGCCCCCAGAACCCGCCCCCCCATTCACAAAAAAAAAAAAAAAAGAGTAGTGTAAAAAATGACAGTAGACAGGCTTTGACAAATCCTTTATTAAAAAAATAAAATTAAAAAAAATGTTCCCCCGAAGTAGGTCCAAAAAAAAGGCTCCGCTCTAGATGCTGGCTCCAAGCCATCTGACAGCTGTGCTGGCATGACAGTTCCTAAATATCTAAGGGGCCAGGTGATCCCACCCCCTTGTGACATCATCATATTCTGTGATTGGCCAAAGCATTGCACCTGACCTGTGACCAGGTGCATTGTTTTGGCCAATCACAATGCACTGTCAGAGCGCAGTGCATTGTGGGGCGCGACAGGCGAAAAGCCCACAGAATGCCCTTACTGTTTGTGTGTTCCCCGAACACATGAACAGCCAATGTTCCAGTCTAACTTACATTCAACTCAAACATTAAGCCCAACACTATTAGGCAGATTAACTTTTATTCCAAGAAATGTACATAGGCCCGTGGGATATCAGTTGTGATTGGTGTAATTAAGCTGTTGAATGCAAAATCATTAACTCAATTAAAAAAAATAACAAAAACCTTTGTATGATTTTGTTAAAACTATCAGTATACAATGTTATATTTAAGTATATTGTTTCATGAGGAAACTAATCAGAAAATAACTGCTTTTCCCCGTATTGAGAAGCGTTGTCTGGGTTTTTCACTTTGCCTTCCATTAGATCAAGGTTTTGGGTATTTGTGTCTGCAGGAATCCAAGCTTCAATAGTGGGATCCACCCCGATGCCTGATAGGTAGCTGGTTTAGCTTCCCAGCATGGCATTGAAAGTCTGAGCCAGCCACTCCCATTCCCTGTACAGCTTGGTGCTCCAGTGAGCAGTGGAGGGGCAGAGCAGATAGCCGGATACTGGCAGTCACCATTCTCTGCTCACTGAAGACCAAGAACTGAACAATCAGTGGTCATGTGATCCTTCAGTTCTTAGTCTTAAAGCTGGCAGGGGGACAGCTTTAGCACTGGACCAATAGGTAAGTATGTAATTTTGTTTTTTTTTGCAATCCCTAACTTCTTTAACTTGATAGCTATCAGTCTTTCAGTCTTAAAATGTATGCCAAGCCAAAAACATCTGTTTACCTTTAAAGATAAATAACCTATAATTACTTATTGCCTAATAATTACTTTTACAGTAAGTGCCTATAGAAAATATAAAGTTGTTTTAAGCTCAAAGAGGTTTTCTCCCTTAACTGGACAGGAGCAGCACTGATGCGGGTGGACATACCCATAAATCCTCCCACATTGGTCACTCGTGCACGCTCTCTAGAGCACACAGCAGCGCAACCTGTGACCAATGAAATTGGGCCTGTACCCTGTGATCACTGTGACCAATCACAGCGATCACAGTTGTAAACAATGGCTGTCAGAGAAAACGGAATGCTTCTTACAGTGAATGGCACGGTTACAAACACTCAGTGTGAAAATTTTTTTTTAAAAAAAAAAAGATCATCCTCCTGAGCAGTACAATGTCACTATGGTGACACTGCACTGCTGTGTCAATTGATCAGAGACACTGCTGCAATTATGACACTGTGGGCTTTATTCACAAAAGCATCTCACATGCGGTATTTAGGTGTTCAGATATTTTTTGCCTAAATATGCAATCCTGAAACTGTATATTCACCATGTTGAGGGCATGTGACCTGCTATGTTTCAGGAGGGGGGGGGGGGGGCGCTCTTTCAACATACTAGGGAGAGTACAACTGGGGGAATCAATGGTGGAGAAGGATCTGGGAGTTCTGATAGATCACAAGCTTAATAATGGCATGCAATGCCAAGCTGTAGTTTCTAAAGCGAGCAAAATCCTCTCTTGTATTAAAAGAGGTGTAGACTCCAGAGAGAGAGATATCATATTACCCCTGTACAAATCATTAGTAATACCTCATCTGGAATATGCAGTTCAGTTTTGGGCACCAATTCACAAAAAGAACATTGGGGAACTGGAGAAAGTACAGAGAAGGGCAACCAAACTGATAAGAGGCATGGAGGAGCTCAGCTATGAGGAAAGATTAGAGGAACTGAATTTATTCTCTCTTGAGAAGAGGAGATTAAGGAGGGATATGATCAACATGTATAAACACATCAGTGGTTCATATAGTGAACTATAGTCTAGAGCTATTCACCCTGAGGTCATCGCAGAGGACAAGGTGTCATTCTCTATGTCTGAGGAAAAGAAATTTAATCTCCAAACACGGAAAGGTTTCTTCACAGTGAGAGCTGTGAAAATGTGGAATAGACTCCCTTAAGAGTTGGTTCTGGCCAGCTCAGTGGATTGCTTTAAAAAAGTCCTGGATTCTTTCTTGGATACACAGAACATAACTGGACACTAACATTGATAGGTAAAGTTGATCCAGGGAATATCCGATTGCCTCTCAGGGGATCAGGAAGGAATTTTTTTTCCCTGCAGGAGCAAA